CTTATTTCCTCTTATTAGATTTAACTCATCATTTCAGCCTGACAGGCTCTTCAGGTCCTGATTCTCTTGCCTAGGTTGTTGGACAGTGCATATGTTGACTAAATAAGACTGTTCCCTGGGACACTCTACTAGATAATTCCCTTTAGATTGATAGCCGTTAGCCAAAGATTAAGCAGCAATCTTTGTGTCTTATTATATTACATCTAGACCAAACTCTCTAGCTTAGGGGTTCTTGATCATTTTTGTGTCATGGACCCTTTTTGAAGTCTAGGGAAGCCTATACACCATTTTCTCAGAATAATATTTATAAAGGAATAAAATAAAATACATAACATTTTCAAGGAAACCAAAGATTAGTGAAATAAAGTTGCGATTTTTTCCCCATCCAAATTCACAGACCCCCTGAAATCTCTTCATTGACCCCCAGGTTAAAAACAACCCCACTTTCTCAAATAATTTGACCAGAATTTCATTCTTGAGAGCATCCTATTTTTCTTGGAATATGACTGCTTAGCTTTGTTGAATTTTATGTCACAAGAGCTCACAAGTTTTTTCTCTGAAGTCTTAGAAGCCTGTTCCCTCCAAATCTAGGGGATATACTACACTATGCCTAGCTTTTCTTTGGCTTAGATTTTGTAGAATTTATTGAATTTTAATATAGTTTTTATTTGGAATTACATTTTAAAAAAAAAACACACACACACACGGATAAACTCCATTTAACAAGTATTGGGACGCATTTCAGAAATCTTCCCAACAAAGCTTCATTTATTAACTCCTGATATAAGGTTTTCAATGCCAGTAGGAACCTTCACATCTGCCTGGAGCCAGGGAGTACAGATGTACTTACTATCTGTTAGAGAGATGTATGCATTTGGGGGTGGGGGGGGAGGAGGTGGGGATGGAATAAATTGTCTTCTCTTTGCTGCAGACCTACCTGAATTTCAGCATATGCAAAGCTAATTAAAAAACAAAACAAAAGAAAGGAGGAGGTCCAAGATAGACTTCATTAAAGAGCTAGTCCTGTGACTAGGGTGTCTGGCTAAAGCTAAAAGCCTTCTAAAAGCAGGATTTGAGCACCTATTTTAATAGTTCATGGGGACAACCCTCTCATTGTTAGAAAACCTGCACTTCTGACTGGAACCAGAGGAATTAAAGTGTAATTCCTTGTAGATATGCTAATCTTTTATTCTGATTGTCCAGAGAAGATTGTAAAGGCTGGAAAATGCCAACAGGGTCTGATTTCTCTGGTACCCAGGTGGTTTGGTAAGTCTGAGTGTGAGAAGGTAGGGGTAACCCAAAGCTTTAAAGCACTTTTGCATTCAAAAGCAATTGAGCCTATTTTTTTCCCAAGTATATTAAGCAACTTGTCAGTTATAATGTGACAGAAAGATTTGGGGTCCAGAGGCTTGGGTTCAAATTTCCCACTTCAGCCATAAATTTGGCATGTGAACTAGAGCATGTCAGTTCCTGGTCTAGGTCTCAGTGTCTTCTTGTTCAGCAGTTGGACCAGATAAATTCCAAAATCTCTTCTACCAAAGCATTCTTTCTGTCTATGGAAGAAATTGTGAGAAGCAAGAAGAGGTGAAGGGAACAGACACTAGAAGAAGATACTCAGGAAATGTTCTTCCTCTTCTTTTGATTTTCTCTTTCATGGAAACTTATCCTCACTCACTCACAAGTTCTTTTGCTCAGAATAAATTAATATCTGTAGTATTATAAGCAACTTTTCAGTGCTTATCTAAACAAATTGCATATGGTAACCATGGTTGATTCCAATCATAGTTGAAAAGAGCCTTAATATTCTTTATTTAAAAATGTTTTGTTAAACTATATACTAGTTTCAGATGACATGATGAACCAAAATAAGTGTTGGATAAATAAGGTGTGTCAGAATAACAGAATTTTGGAGTTGGAAGGGGCTTCAGTGGCTCTGTAGTCTGGATTTGTAGGAAAACATAACCGTAAGCATTTTCAGTTGAAGATGCCCACTAATGGGGGACTCGGTCTACAAATGATAAAAGGAAGAATTTTTAAACTCCTGAGTATTGTGGTAGGCACGGGTGATACAAAGACACAAAGGAGACAATCCCTGCTATTTACAAGGTTACGTTTTACTAGGAAGACATGTTCACAGTTAAGTAAATAAGAATCTATACACAGTGATGGGGTGAGATGGTCGATAACTACGGCTGAATCAGGGAAACCCTATTGAAAGAGTTGGTGCTTGAGCTGAGCCTTGAAGGAAACCTAGATTTCTGAGAGGCAGATGTGAAGAGCAAGAGGCAGATATGAAGAGTGGGAGCATTCCAGGCAAGGGATACAGACTGTACAGAGGCACAGTAGTAGGGGATAGAACAGCACTTAGACCAGTTTGACCTAGGTGAAGGGGTTATAGTATCTCATCACATTCTGCAGTCAGATTGTGAAGGGCTTTAAGGGCCAAGTGGGGGAGTGTGTATTTTATACTAAAGGCAATGGAGGCCCACTACAGTTTCTTGAGCAGGAGAAGTGACAAGTTCAGACCTGTGTTTTAGGTACATCAATTTAATTTAACAGCTGTCTGGAAAAGGGATTGAGAAGGGAAGGGAAACTAATTCAGGGAAACTAATTTGAAGGATGTTGACATAGTTCAGGGAAGAGGTGATGAAGACCTAGACACAGTGGCTATAGTGTGAACAGAGTGAAGGAGGCAGATTCAACAAATGCTGAGAAAGTAGGCTTGATAAAACTTGGCAAATTATTGATATGAGGGGAGGAAGAGAGTGAAGAGTCAAGTTTAGCTTCTAGACAGAGAATTAGATAACTGGAAGAATTGCAACACAGAATTAGGGAAGTTAAGAGGAGTGTTTTGGTTTTTTTTTAGGGTGGGGGAGGAAATGATAATGAATTCTTTTTTGGACATGTTGAGTTTCAGATGCTTATGGGACGTGATGACATTAGGCAGCTGGAGATATAGGATCAGAGATTTAGACTTGGTAGTAACTTAGAAGTCTTCTAGTATGATACTTTGATTTTACAAATGAAGAAACTTGGGTACAGTGTGGTAAAGTGATTTAAACATGGCTGCACAGATAGTCTTGTGACTCCATGTTCAGTGTGTTTTCCACTGCACAATCAGCTTAGGAGACAGATGAGGGTAGATATGTAAATATGGGGGTCATTTTCATAGAAATGACATTTGTAATGATGGGAAATGGAGAAGTTATTAAGAGAGTATAGGTCGGAGAGAGAAGAACCAGGGTATATACCACACATAGGAGACAGGACATGAATAATGAACCTGTACAAGAGCTTGAGAAGATGCATCCTTGACAAACTGGAATAGAATTATGAGATAACAGTGTCATGAAGACCCAGACAAGATAGACTATCCAGTAACAGGAGGTGGTTAACAGTGTGGAAATGTCAAGAAGGATGAAGACTGAGAGATGATTGCATTTAGTAAAAAAAGAGTTGAACAGTGGTGCTGGAAGCTGCATTTCAAAGACTTGTGAAGAGAATAGGAGATGAGAAAATAGGGCTAATGAATTTGGACAACTTTTTCTGAAAGATTACATCCTCTCAGCTCACTCTACTTTTGGATAGTGTTACTTCTTAGGAAGCTTTTTTCTTAATTCAAAGCTAAATTTATTTCTTTACAGTTTCTACCCATTACTCCTGTTTCTACCCCTTGGGTCTGAGCAAGACAAGTTTAATCCTTCTTTCACATGACAGCCCTGCAAATACTTAAAGACCACTATCATATCCAACTTCCTTTTCCCTCCTTCTCCATTCCCACCCACTCTTCTTTTCTCCATGGATTCAAGACCCTTCACCATCCTGTTTTCTCTCATGCCATACCTCCTTTTGAGTATTCTTCAGATTGTCAGTATCTTTCCTTAAACTGTGGCAATTATCATTAGACACTTCAGATATTGTCTGATTGGGCAGAATAAAAATGGACTATCAAATTCCATATTCCTGGAAGCTATGTTTCTTTTAATGCATCTAAAAATCCCATTAGTTTTGGTTGTTGTTATCATATCACACTGGTGAGCTTGCATTTCAGTGACAAAAATCTTTTTCAGACAAACTAGTCTAATCCTACGTCAAGACAATTTTTGAACTCAGATGTAAGACTTATCATTTGTACCTATTAAGATTCTTTTTAATGCATTAAGCCTAGTATTCTTTTTGTGGATCCTGACTGTAATTTCCATGTTAGTGGTCCTTCTTAGGTTTGCATCATCAGCAAAATCTGTTAAGCTTGCCATCTGTGCCTTCATCAGAATTATTTATAAAAATAATAAAAAATACAAAGCTGGGGAAAGATCCTTTGAATACTCTTCTAGATACCTTTTCCCCAGTAGAAATGAGGAGTTAATGGCTGCTCCTGGAATTTAGCCATTCAACCAGTGCTGAATACATCTAGTGGACAGGGCCCTGGACTTAGGAAGACTTAGATTGAAGTGTTGCCTTAGACATTTGCTATTTGCATGACCCACTTAAATTTCTTTTTATCAGTTTTTTCATCTTTAAAATGAAAGGGTTGGACTTGATGACCTTTAAGGATCCCTTCTGGCTTTAAATCTTTGATCTCATGGTCCTACTATATCATCTAATGCACATCTTTTCCACATAAATTCTGTGAGATAGTTTATGAGGAGTTTCAATACGATGTCCTTTTGTATTTATTTTTAAAGATTTGAAAAGTAGTGACTGTTGAAGGGGATTATTGAAAGGAATGTGCTGTAAGTGTTATTTCACCTTTTAGGAATTTTTATGCTGTCAAGATCAGTTTGCAAAATGGGTGACCAAAATAGCACTCTTCTATATTTCTTTTGAAAATCCCAGCAGACACTAATAAGAATATCCTCTTAAAGATGATTTTTTAAAAAGTGGGCCCTCAGTTTATGATGGTAATAATGATAAACTCCTTTCTTAGATCCCATCAACACACTACTCTTGATTGTAAAAAACTTTACTGATTTTTGTTATATTTTTTCTTAAATTTATAGGCACAGGTACCTTTGGACGAGTTCACCTAGTGAAAGAAAGAACAGCCAAACATTATTTTGCATTGAAGGTAATGAGCATTCCAGATGTCATTCGGCTAAAACAAGAGCAGCATGTGCACAATGAAAAGTCAGTCCTGAAAGAAGTCAACCATCCATTTCTGATCAGATTGTAAGTCTTCCCCCCACTCCCCCCCATTTAGGGGTTTTGCGTGTGCGCGTGTGTGTGTATGTGTGTGTTTTCATCTGTTAATTAACTGTGTTCTATAACAAACGTAAAAATATGTGAATCCTGATTATTTAATAATAACCACTGAAATAAAATCAATTCCTAATTATGAATAACATCTAGACCATCATAGGCTAGACCCTGAACACTGACTGGCTACTGCAGTCAGTGGGGCCATAGTTCTGCTTTTAGCCGGAGGGAACTTACCTCCTCCTATGGCTGGATTTAATTAAAATCACAGACTGTTCAAACTAACAAGTAAGGACCTTACCAGTTATCTAGTTCATTTTCCTTATCACACAAATAAGGTGACTTCTTCAAGGTCACATGGTAAATTAGTAGCAAAAGTAACTCTCCTGACCCCTGGTCCGATTCTTACCATACTTCACAATGATCACAGCAAAGGAATTACATGCACTTGATAGCTATATTCTTTTTGGCCTGTTTCCACAGCCCATTACTAGTTGAGAGCCTTGACTTGACTCCTTGATGTGAGCTTCTGAACTATCTGGGATGCTGGTTATCTACATTAATGCTTGCTTCTACTGGCACAGATCATCAAGAGTTAATGTGGCTATATAGTACTTTTCCTTCAAGGAGTTATATAGTGCATGTTTATTAGGTATGTAAGTGTAGGTGGAATTCCCGTTTTGAGTCATGGAAACTGGAGCAGTGAGTTCTTAAGGGAATTGCCCAAACTCACTCATCAGCTTCTGGATTCTCATTAGACTATTGCTATAAAGCACTTCTGGGTAACAGAGAAATTATTGCATTAAAAATTTCCATAAGAAATTAAAGATTCACATTTTATGGTATAACAGAAAATAACTATTTTGGGAAAGGTCTTTCTTTTGTACTAGTTAGCTATACTTTTAAACCATTTTAATGTAATGGATTCTTAGGTCCTCTATATGATATTTCCATTTACTAACACTGTCTACTAACACTGTACTAGACCGTCTATGTTATACCTAGAAGTTTGTTGTATTTGATAGTACTTACTCTGAAAAAGGGCTGTGTTTTAAAAAAAAGTGTTCTGCAGATAAGTGATTTGGAACTTGGAATGCATTTTCACCCAGAAACACACAAACACAATAGAGAATAATGATTAAGTCTCCAGGCTAGCCTACAAAACCTTATTTAACCCATAATGTAGCTAAATTTCTAGTATGTTAATAATGAAAAAAATGGAGAACAATGTTTTGTAATACTAGTAATTAAATTAAAGAGAAAAATATGAATTTAAATAAGATTTTTAAAAAACTTACCCATTGGCACTATAGGAAAAGCAAATTTAATTAGAAGAGGAAACAATAGATTGAGTCTTTTGTAGAAATCCTGTAATGGGCTAATGGACATTGTCAGGAATTTTAGAGGTTTATGGTACTGAAGAATATTTATATTTGATTTGACTTCAAAATGAATTATTTTCTTTTTTTCTCAATACTGACATGCTACTACATGTTCAGTCCCTATTAAGAGGCTTTGTTTAGTTGTTTGTTTTGCTAATAGAACAATAAAAAAGACAAAAAGAGAGCTTTAAAAAAATTTTTAACAAACAAATACATTTTTTAAAAACAAATTTTAATTTTTTAAAAACAAATCTTGCCCTTCCCCCAAGTATATCAGGCTAAAAGTTGAAAGAGAGAAAAAGAACAAGAATGGAATAAAAACAAATGTGTACATTTGTGGGGTGGGGGTAGAGTTTATTAGACTCTAAATCATGAATCATGGAGGAAAAATGTTGTGCAGTGTGCATGGAGGAGAAAGGGAAGACGGATTGGCTATATTAGTCGCTGCCAGGATATGGGCTTGATTGCTACATAGAGGGAGAAGAGTTAGGCTATGAGTCCTCAGAGGCAGTGAAGGGAGAGGGACGTGTTCTACAGTTGTCTTTTAGGATCATAGATGTATAGCTTGAAGACACTTGAAAGGCTACTTAATCCCCTCATTTTATAGATAATGAAACTGAGGCTCAGCCAGGGTAGCTAAGTGAACTGCCCAAAGTCAAATAGGTAGGAAAATTATTTGAACCCAGATCTTTTTGCTTCAATGCTCTTTGTAAAGTATCAGACTCTCCCATTATGTTGTTTTACAAAGCATGTGCTTATATTTGTTAAAATGCCCATTTACTTATGTTTTGGGGTGATAGAATTTGTTGTCTGGTAGCTTATGTTTGAATATAATGTTAATTTATTTTTAGTATCTGTCAGGGAAAGGGGAATGTATATGCTGTTTTATATATAGGTTGAGCTAATTAAATTTTAAAGTCAGCTGATGAGTGTGGAAGAACACCAGGAAATTTTGTGTCAGGTAGAGACTGTATAAAAGAGTAATGTGTTTAGTCTCCATCTAGTGTAAGAGACCTTCTAACGCTATTAGCAAACTGACTAAACTTTTCTACTTTGGGAAAATCTAAGGGGAGCTCATGTTTAAAAGTGAGAAAAAAATGTTATTGGAAGTATCCAAGGAAATCTTAGCATCAGTCAAAAGAAAATATTTAAGCACTGATGGCAAAAATCCATGTTTTTAGTGACAAATAATATATTAATTTCTCTCTGTTGATTTTGATGAGCATAAATCTATAAAAGCAAGCATTTTATTCTGTCATTCACTCCAGAAATGTAATGGCATTTAATTAAAAAAAATTAGTTCTTTAGTATTTGTCATCATAGGGTACATTGGAATCCAGTTTAGAGATTTACAATGAAACATGATTTTCTGAGTGAGCTTTAAAAAAAAAACCCACGAAATACATTTTGCATATTCATGCAACTGCTGAAAGTAGAGTACTAGAAATTTTCTGTCACATAATTTTTAAAAGTTGAGTTTTATTGATTACTTGAAAAAAATCATAGCCATTCCCCTACCCACCTACCCACCCAATTTCATGAGCCATCCTTTGTAGGTATGGAAAGTAAACCCAAAACCAAAACAAAACAAAAAACAAAAACAAACAAAAAAACCTGACAGTGTTTCTATCTGTATACCCACCATTCCACAGTCATAGTTCCTAAACTCTCTAACAAAAGCAAGGGATGTATTTCTCTTTCTTCTCTGGAGCTACCATTGGTCATGATACTTAAACAGCATTCATTTTAGTGTTCTTTTTTGCATACATTACTATAGTTGCTATGTATGTTGTTTTCCTGGTTCTACTTTCTTCATTCTCAATCCTATTCTCTCACCTGAGCTATATTTCCATGTCATCAATTTCATATTGAACTTTTCAAAATAGATGTTATGGAGACATTTCACATACGATCATAACAGAGCTTATTATCTTTTCTCCAAAACCTTCTTTCTTCTAAACTTCTGCATTAATGTTGAAGGCACCACTATTCTTTCATATTCTCAGGTTATTAAACTCAGCCTTATCCTTGACTCTTAACCCTTCTTCACCCCACATATCTATGCATTCAGTTACCAAATCTTGCCATCTCTTCCTCCACATCATTTCTCCCATTCAACCCCATCTCTTTCATTCACACAGCTACCAACCTTAGTTCGGGCCCTCATCACCTCTCACCTTCATTATTTTCTCCTAATTGATCTCCCAACCTAAAGTTTCTGCACATTCCACTCCATCCTCCATGCTGATAAAGTGATTTTCTTTCAGTACAGATCTGACCATGTCACCTACTCAATTGACTTTAGTGGTTTCCTGTTTCCTCTAGAATAATAGAGAAAACACCTTTGTTTAACTTTTAAAATCCTTCAGAAACTGCCTGCTTTGTTGAACATTACTTTTTTCCCCCACCCCACCCCCAACATTTAGTTATCTTGCCAAATAGGTCTTCTTTTTGTTCCTTACATACTATGCCTTACCTTATATCTCCATGTGCTGGCCTCCTCCCCATCCCTGGAATGTATTCTTTCCTCATTTCTGCTTAGTAGAATCCTTCTTTTCCTTCAAAACAAATGAAGCCTTTTCTCATCCTTTAAACTGTTAGTGCCCTCTCTCTCAAGCTACCTTGTATTTATCTTCTTTATATTTATGTACATGTGTGTGTTCTTTCCCCTGTTTGAGGGAAGAGATTGTTTTATTCTTTTACTTGTAATCACAAGCACATAGTAATCAATAAATGCTTATTGATTGCATCAGTTCATAGATTTTCCCCTCATGTTTTTCTATTTCCCATGTTAGTTGTTCTTTACTACACAGTGGTTTTCAATATGTGCATATATTATAATTTATTTAGTCACTCCCCAAATGATGGGAACCCACTAGTGTAGAATTTTTTAAAAATTTGTTTTGTTTGTTTATTATGCTACTACAAAAAGTGCTGCTATGAAAATTTTGACATCCATGAGATTATTGTGTCTTGGACCTTCTTGAGGTTTATATTCAGAAACGGGATTTTTTTAGTAATTTATTGGTTTTTTTCCACATAAATTGCTTTCTGGAATGGTGAGACCAGTTTACAGTGTGTTAGCATGCTTGTCTTTCCACAACCTCTCCAGCATTGACTAGTTCTATCTTTTGTCATCTTTGCCAATTTTCTGGACATCAGTTGAAACCACAAGTGTTTTGTTTAGCATTTTTCTTATTAGTGATTTGAAACAGCCTTTCATGTGATTGTTGTTGTTTTGCAATTCTTTTGAAAACTTCATTTCCTTTGACCACTTCTCCACTGGGGAATGGCTGGCTATTGGTATTATATAGGGACTTGGCACAAATACCTATCTTGGATAATACCCTATTATCAGAGATAATTGACAAAAATATTTTTCCTCTTGACAGTTTTTCTTCTGATCCTAGTTGTATTGATATTCTGTGCAAAAACTTTTAATTTAATTCCTTTGTTCTTCATTTCAGAATGAAAGATGAGCAGTGTAGTTCCTACCCTTCACCTATCTCACCCTTTTTGCAGAAAAAGGGTCTTGGAAGCTAAGCTCTAGAAGCTGAGCCTGAAGCTATAACATAGCAATTGATGCCTTGA